AGAGAGAGAGAGAGAGAGAGAGAACACTAACTGTGGAGCCCCAAGGACCACAACCTCTAGGAAACCATTAGTTGAATGTTTTCATGGTGAATGCCGAGACAAGGCAGGATCTCAGCTCATGTCCTCACTTTGTCACTTTGCCTGGGACTCCAGCTGCCTATCAGGAATAGACACTGGCAGGGATTTCCATGGCCTCCTCCAGGGTGGGAGAGAGGGAAGACAGAGGAGAGGACTCAGCAGGCTGCTGCCCTAGACTTCTTTTATCTTTGACATTCACCTGGCATTCTCACCAAAGAGCGAGGGATGGAGCAAGCAGAGAGCCTGGTGGTGCCAGCCAATGGGAGCCAGCGGGCCTGTTTCCTCAGGCAGAACTCTGAATCTTGGAGCCAGAGAGAGAAATGGCAGGCAGATAAGCCCCTTTGAAACAGTGTTTGGCTTAAGAGGCAGGTTGAACCCCCAATCTGATGACCATAGAAGAGACATGTATTGGACACATCTGTTGGGCATGTGTTACGTGCTGGCATATCCCTGTACACATGTACTCTTGTGAGTGGCACACCTCCCTTTGGGCTGCTTTAATCGTCATCATCTGTGATGGCAGGACTCGATCACTTAACAGTGCTCCTCAGCAATTCTGTTTCTTTTCAGGGGTTATGAGGCAGACATGAACTGGGAGAAAGGGGAAGGCCATCCCCATGAGTATTTTGTGTGTGGAGCTGCCTGCTCAGAGGTTGAGATAGATTGTCTGACTGGGAACCATAAGGTCAGTACCACCTGGGAATGTCTTCTGACTACTTGTGAGAGGCTTAAACTCCACACATGTGCCTACTGGATGGAAGCTGGCTGTGTGGCGGCAGCATCACGCATTTGCCCTGAGGGTGATTTCTTTGTGTTACTAGGGGGAAAAATGAAACTCTCAGTTGCCTTAGTGTTTAATGTCTTCTGTGGAAAACAAGAGTCCTTCTTCTTAGGTGTTTTCTTTTTACTGGAAATAAGAAAGAAATCACTTCAGAACATCCTGATGAGGGCTTCCGTGTAGACTGTTGTCCCAAGTAGCAATCCTGACCCTTTATAAGAAGTGTCTTAGTGTGATGTTCTTGAAAGACACCATAGGTATCCATAGCTTGTTAATAAGGTCCAAGGGCCACTTCAGGACAGGCAGTGGCCAGCCAGGTTCTCTCCTTGAATAGCTGAAGTGTCATCTTATACTTTTTTTTTGGGGGGGTGAGTGTGGATTCACACTCATGTACACACACGCACACCAGCTCCAAGGACTCAGCCTCCTTTCCTGTACCTTTAGTGGTAAAGAAAACACTCATTGCCATTATCTAATAAACGATCACGGATACATCAAATGAGATTGCCGTAGCCCTCACAAATGCCATGTGACTAAGCTGCTGGTTTAGTGATAATCTGTACCCAAACCTACCCAGGAGCAAGCTCCAGCTTTTGATATTTCCAAATACCTTTTCTGTCTATATTCCTAGATGGTCATCATGTATAATTTTTCATTAGCATATATTTTTAAAGTATAGCCTTATTTTTGAAATGATATATACCCTTATCGAGCCTCCCTGCTAGGATATCTTACTTGTCTGGATTCCAACTCAGACGGTATCTCTTTGGGGGGACTTGGGACTGAGATAAAGGACTACCAGTCCAAGCATGACCCTTGGGGTAGAGTAGCTGTCGCACACTCTGTTGAGAGTTCTCCATGCTAACTAATTTCTGAATCCCTTTGCCCTCAAATAAAAAGTTGGTGGAAACATCCCTGTCTAGATTCTCCTCTGTGTTGGCCTTTGTTCAGAGCTAAGAACAGTAATAATTAACCTGGTGTCGGTTCAGGGTTCTGTTCTTGTTTGTTTTAGTGGAACTGGACCTTTCTGGACCCACTTATGCTTTCAACGCAAGGACCTAAGGTGCATGACACTCATAGTTACCAAAGACAGACCTGGGACAGTGGCTCTGAGGTTGTCTCACAATTACAGACACGGACTGTGTGTAAAGCCGAAGCAAGCTTTACAAAGAGAATTACAGTACAGTGGGGGCATTCTGGGAAGTGAGAGGCTCTTCAGAGTAGAGGCGTTTCCAAGAGGGAAAAGGCCAGGAAACTTCCTTGGCTAGGGATTTTAACAAGGCCATGATGGTAGAGGCTGGAGGAAGTCTGGGTAACTGCTATGAGATGTTAGCTCTCTAGCAGTATCACGGGCTGAGCCAATGGGAGATCCTCACATTCTATCAATGTCCCTCTAACCCAACCAGGCAGAGGTTCACATGCTGCCCACCCAATTGGGGTGATTGAAGGCCCCACCCACCTCTGTCCATCTCCGACACATGCTTTTTAGCTGCTGCTCTTGACTATCTGCTGGCTGTCATTCCTGACTGGCATGGCTGTGGCCAGCCTTACAGATGTCTTGCTGGGGTTCAGTTCGACTATGTTCCGTTCACTTATATTTCCATGACCAGCCTGCAGCTCTGCCACAACAGAGAGTTCAGTCTCCTACCTGCCACCCAGATGGCAGCTGCAGTCTTCCTTGGTTACCGAATATTTAGTTCCCGACTATGGAGTGGTCTGGGATGGTCTCCTTGGTGGAGGTGTCTTGTGAGAAGCCATCCTTACAACTTAGTGTGGTACTGTCAGCTGCATTAGACATAGGGATGTGTGGAAGGACCGAGGTTCTTTACCTATGTTCCCCGAGAGCTCTGGGTGAAGGGCTGGAGAGGAGGCAGCCAGCCTGCCATCACCAGCCCCATGTCCTGTGCCTCCTCTGTCTACGTCGCTTGCGTGTCTCATCCCCAAATAGAAACCCTCTTACTCCGTATCCTCAGTGTTCCAGACACTGCTGTTTTCAATCCTCCATCGTCCTTTTTAACCCAGCCTCTGTTCTCACAGCAACAATAGGGGGGTCCTTTTCTTTGCTGCCCACAGGGATGGCTGTTGTTATCAGGAGGTTCTTTCAAGATACTTCTTGTGTGTTTGAACAGTCTTAAGACATGTGCAGTATTGATAGCTCAGAGTAGGCACCACCCATAGACAAAAGGCCGGCATGTGACAGCCTACCAGAAGTTGTAGTTGTTGTTTTTGTTTTGTTTTGTTTTGTTCTTTATTCTCTGGAGGTCTGCCACCCAGCTCCCAAATAAATACATGGAGACTTATTTTTACTTACGAATGCCTGGCCTTAGCTTGGTTTGTTTCTAGCCAGCTTTCCTAACTTAAATTATCCCATTTCTCTTTAACTATATTTTTCTTCTTGGCCTTTTACCTTTCTTTATTCTATTATCTTTCTTTCCTTCTTACTTCATGGCTGGCTGGGTGGCTAGGTGGCTGGCCCCTGGCATCCTCCTCTCCTCCTTTTCCTGCTCTTCACTCTCTACCCTAGATTTCTCCTCCTATGTGTCCTCTCTGCCCTCCAGTCCTGCATATCCCTCCCCTGCCTCACTATCAGCTGTTCAGCTCTTTATTAAACCATCAGGTGTTGTAGACAGGCAAAGTAACACAGAGTTAAACAAATGCAAAATAAAAGAATGCAACACACCTTTACATCATTAAACAAATAGTTCACAGCCTAGATGAATGTAACACACCTTAAACTAACATTCCACAACCAGAAGTCCTTCCTGGAGGCTTGTTTCTTAGCCACTCTCATGCTGGTAAAACTGCCTGACAAATGTCCCAGATTTTGAACCTACATCTATCTATTAGCTACCTATTGCCATCTAACAAATTGCCCCCAAATTGGCAACTGAAAATAGTAAATGCGTATTGGCACACACCACCTCTGAGGGCCAAGCATCTGGGTCAATGTAGTTTATCTGGGTAACTCTGGCTCAGGATTTCTCTCGAGGCTATGGCCAGGCACTGGGTGGGAGCCACAGTCATCGAATCTGCTTCTAAGCTCCATCACACTGTTGTTAATGGGAGGCTGTGATTTCTCCATGGCTGTTAGCAATTGCCTCCTTTCCTTGAATGATGTCTTTGTCCACTTAGTGCCCCAAGGACACAGCAGCTGACTTCCCAGAGATGTACAGGCCCCAAAGAAAGTTGAAAACATAAACACGTGGGAGGACATCTGAAACAGAAGCCACAGTCCTTTCTAATTTTGTTTCAGAGTGGTGTGCCACTGTTTCTGCTTGGCCTAGTGGTCACAAGGACTGGCTTGACAGAGATTGGTAAAAGGGGCGTACACAGGCTGTGAATATCAAGTGGAGGAGTTCATTAAGCACCCTCTTGGAAGTAGGCTACCACAGCCCAGACCTGCTCTCCAGTCCCATCCAATTACAGTGACGGAGGGCCATTAGCCCATGTCTTTGAAAAGTAGAACCTTCCCTAGCAGTAGACTTTCGAGCACCCCTCTTCATCTCCAATGGAGGCCGCTTGTCTCCTGGAAGAGCCATCAGGCTAACTAGTATCCAAGAGAACTTTTCATTTTATTGTGTCTTGCAATAAAGAAAGGTAATTATCTGAACTTTTATTGAAGTCAGACATTTTGGATCATTATCTAATTTTCTGCAGGAAATTGTTAGTCGCAAGTCTGAGACCAAATAAGAAAACTGGTGCATTTTCTTTTCTTTCTTTCTTTTTCCCCTTTCTTTCTTTCTTTCTTTTTTTTAAGACAGGGTTTCTCTGTATAAGAGCCCTGGCTGTCCTGGAACTTGCTTTGTAGACCAGGCTGGCCTCGAACTCACAGAGATTCACCTGCCTCTGGGATTAAAGGCGTGCACCACCACGGCCCGGCTGTGCGTTCTCTTTGTTCCTTAACGACCATCAATAGAGTCCATAAGCATGGTAGAAATCATCATTCACACCAAAGAATCTACAGACTTGTTGGAGGACAGAGGTGTTACCAGCACACGGGCAGGGCCTGCTGTCCTCCGCACTTTTAGGTGATCAGAAAACAAGTCATAAGGGTGGATTTGTTCTTGTCCCCACCAGCAAAATGCAAGCTGACACCTCCTGAACTCCATGGTTCAGTAAATGTCACTGAGCTGGATAGACTCCATGTATTAGCTTGGAGCGGAGCCATGGAGTTTTGAACGGGGTTCTGAAGACCAAAGATAGTGGCTTTTGTTGTTTCACTCTTTGCTGTGGTAGATTAAACTTAGTCTCTTGCATCATCCAGCTTGAAGCTGATCAAAAGCAAATAAAGCCTCCTATTTCCTTGGAAAACAAATAGTGCTTAACCTGGGGTTGAGAGTATTTGTGTGGGGGCTGGAGAGATGGTTAAGAGCACTGACTGCTCTTGTTGAGGATCCAGGTTCGGTCCCTGGTACCCACATGCCGACCTACAACCATCTGTAACCCCAGTTTCGGGTGATCTGGCACTGTTCTGGCCTCCATGAGATTCAAACATGCACAGAGGGGCCACACATACTGTAATATGAAAGGAAAAGGACCCTCAAGACCAAGTTCTCAGCACAAAGAAGAGTGTATTTGTCCCAGAGAGAAAAAAGGCAGGGAATAAGAGACAAAGACAGGAGACAGAGGATGAGGGAGAAGGGTCCTGGAACAAGGGAGAGGGAGTATTTGTCCCAGAGGACAAAGGACTGTCCCTAGATAGAGGGAAGACAGACACAGCCCATACGAAATGGTGGTTTATACATACACAAGGGGAAACCCCGTGTTAGGATGAAGTATTGATTAGGGTAGCCAATGGGGGCTTCTGATGGCTGGACTTCAATAGTTTGATAGCTGAACCTTGGCGGTCAACCTCAGGAGGAGGAAGTGGCCAAATAAGGGAATAGACCTTGGGGGTTGGCTTTAGGGATGTCATCTAACGGTTTTTAGCAAGGCAGAGGGAATGGGGGAGGGCAAGGCCTGCCAGCGCCATGCTTGCCACACTCAAGCTAGTCAGAGTCTCTTTACATACATGTAGGCAAACACTCATCAGCATAAAATAAAAATAGATAAATCTTTTTTTTTTTTTTTAAAGAAATGCAGAATGGAACAGGGAAAGGAACTCAGTTGGTGGAGTATTTGCCTAGGATGTCTGAGACCTCGGGTTCAGTTCTTAACACCACATAAGCCAGGCATGGTGGCACATGCCTTTAATCAATGGGGAGGGGGAGGCAGGAGAATCAGAAGCCAAAGGCCATCCTTGGCTACATATCACATTCAAAGCCAACCTGGGCTACATGAGACCTTATGTCAAAAAGCAGAAGTTTTTAGATAATAAACTTGGTCACACAGTAAAATTTTTGTTGCTTCTTTATCATGAGAAAATATGGTAGGCCCACAGAAGGACTTTATCCCATCCCTGGCAGGAGGCATGTCTCAGCTTCTTCTCTGAGTTATCTGCGTTAATCTTTTTTTTCTAGACCATCAGAACAGACATTGTGATGGATGTTGGCAACAGCATAAACCCAGCCCTTGACATAGGCCAGGTACGAGTAACTGTTTTGTCTTGTTTCCTGTTTGTGGGGCAAAAACTTCAGTGAGGTCTGAAGAGGAAACGTCCACCTGCTGGTCACCTGAGAACCTTACCCTAGTGTGCTGGGTCTGTCTGAGGTCAGTCTGTGAAGGGTTTCACCTGCCTCACTGATGGGAAACATGATGGTATGTGGACAGGCCCTGTGAGGACTCCTCTGGAGTATCATTCCAATGGCTAAGCCAAGACTAAAACCCAGCCAGTCCTCTGACTTGGGATATAGAGAAATGTTTTTAGAGGGACTCCTGGTGACACTCTGATTCACCCTGGAAGGTCCTTTGAACTGCAGTTCCTAGGTCAGACAAGCAGCATGCAGTTGAAATGCTCCTGGGTGTATTGCCTCACGGGTAGTGATTCCTTCTTTTCTCTCAGGTTGAAGGTGCGTTTATTCAAGGAATGGGACTCTACACGATAGAGGAGCTGAGTTACTCTCCTCAGGGTGTTCTGTACAGCCGTGGCCCAAACCAGTACAAAATCCCTGCCATTTGTGACATCCCCACAGAGATGCACATTTCCTTTTTGCCCCCATCCGAACACTCGAACACCTTATATTCATCTAAGGTAAGCTGTGTTGGATGGCTAGGTCCATGCTTACTTGATATCTGTAGGGTGGAGAGACGTTGGTCTGCTCGGTTGTTTGATGTCTTGACTGCGATTCCAGGAGTCCTTATTTAACATTCTCATTGTAAAGTAACTTCATGGCATGGTGAAATGCTTCAAATACTCCCAACCTGCCTAACGTGAACTATCAGATTACGTTTGACTTTGTATATTACAGCCGCCACCTTCAAGCCTGTATGTGCTTGCTCCATCTGAAACCATTTTCTTAAGCTAGAATCCTAAGAATATTAGGATCAGTGGTTAAATGACTTTTTCAATAACAATTTACTTATGGTGTTCTGTAGGTTATATATGTATCTAATTAACAAATACTGCATTATGTACATATGCACGGGTGCCTGTATGTTCAGAGAGGAAGGGACAGTTTGTGTCATAACCTCCATGGCTCACTTTTCCCCAGGGTCTGGGAGAGTCTGGGGTCTTCCTGGGATGTTCGGTATTTTTTGCCATCCATGAGGCCGTGAGCGCGGCTCGGCAGGAGAGAGGCATCTCCAGACCACTGAGGCTCGGGAGTCCACTGACTCCAGAGAAGATCCGAATGGCCTGTGAGGATAAGTTCACAAAAATGGTACGTTACACTCAAGAGAAAAAAAATGGAAAGTCCATCATTTCTGTCCCCTGGCTCTATGGCGAAGTGTCTTTAACCCACCGCTGTGGTTTTTCCACAAAGAAGAAAAGCTGACAGGAACTCCTTGGGGCACATGGGAGGGACAGAATGGCTCTTGAACTTGTGCCCCTGGGTTGTGTCTTTTCCTCAGCCTTCCTTGGTCTCCTGTGTGCTCAGGTCCTTATCACTCGAGGGGAACAGAAAGCTCATTCTCTCAGATTTACGTTTCCCCTGAGTCAGGCTGAGTGCAGGGGCTGAGGCCTGAACCCAGGACACCCAGCCACGAATCAAGGTCACTCTTCTATATCCCCCTGCCACCCACGCAGGCACTGGCAGTGTGACGGACAGAACCCTCCCACAGTGTCATTCCCGCTGAGCACACGCTTCGGTTCCCTGTGCGTCTGTTCAGCAACATGATCTGTGGTTTTAGATTGTAATGGGACCATGCCACCCAGCTTCCTCTCTAGCTACGAGACAAGTTTCCTTCTCGTGTGTGTGTGTGTGTGTGTGTGTGTGTGTGTGTGTGTGTGTGTGTGTGTCCCTCTTACACTCCTTCCGTGCAGGCTCTGCATAATCCTGGACCCCACACTGGGGAAACAGACACCGACTCCATGTTTCCTTAGTCCCTCTCCACGTGGAGTTAAAACTCTCCATCCCTCCGCTAGACCCTCTCCAAGGTGCCTCTGTATATCCCGTGGTGGTGTCCTCTGATCTCTCATCGGCCCGTTGCCTGTGGTGGTTTTTACCTTCACTACCTTCTGTTAATTTTTTTTTTAAACCTAAGTCACAAGCATGTCTCTAGGGTATAAGCATCCAAATTTGCTCTTTCCTCCCAGATTCCAAGAGATGAACCTGGATCCTACGTTCCATGGAACATAACTGTGTGAGTCAAATGCGAACTCTGGAGGGACCGGGTCAACGCC